GGCGGCGGTGCGGCCACGCGGCGTGGCGGTCCGAGTGGAGGAGAGACAGGCAGAAGCGGCACGGTCAGCGGCGGCGAGGCAAGCCAGGCTGTCCTCAGCCCGACGGCCGAATACCTCCTTTCTCCGGTGCTAGGTTGTCCGGTAGGTCTTACAGCTCACTTGCTATCAGTCTCCTTGTTTTTATGCTTCCTGACCAGCACGTCTAATGGAAAAGGAAAATAAAACTGGTGACAGCTTCTGGGTAGGCACCAGTTTCTCCAAACTCTCATCTTCCGTGCTGCTTCCAGTCTTACGACAGCAAGTTGGGTGTCAGTGATGCTCCCTGCTCCATGAACATCTTCCTGGACCCCGTGGAGCTGTGTCCATGTAGCTGCCCTGGGAGAAACTGGGTCGAAGTCGATATTCCCTGGTAAAAGAGGCACCAAAGCTTTTGAAACCCTGCCTGGCCTGCCAGTCGTTCCTCACCAAGAGTGGCCACAACAGGCAGTTTTTGGCTTTGTTAACGATATCTGGAGAGTGATGAGCTCTTGCACAAATCTGGCCTAGGCTGTGTGCGAGCCGATAAAACAGCCCGAGTGTCAAATTTCTCATGGGGACTTTTCTTCATTTATGGTCCACCTAAGAGGAGGGAAAAGGGTTGGCTGGATGGGAAACAAATTGCAGTTTTCCAGTGGAAAAATATTCACACAAGACATCTGTTCCCCGAGCAGGATGGCATTCCTTGGTGCTTAGGCTAGCTTAAACTGCGGCGGATTTCTCCTGCTGCCACCGAGGAGATGATCCACTTGCTTTTGCTTTTAGGAAACTCTTTGAAGAGCCCTGTCCTCTGTCTAATTTGTTACTGACTTTGCCATCCTGGTTCCCGTCGTTTCCATCCTGGTGAGGTTAGGATATACTTCATACCCCCCTAAACGGTTTCTCTTTTTGGTCCCTGCTCCTTTCAGCTCCCTCCCAGTTATCCCGTTTCCGCTGCTTCCTCGTGGCGTTGGGCCAGTTTGACCTAATCTATGTATAACATACGGTGTCAACAGGAAATTCCCCCCTGCTTTCTCATGACTCACGGAGCAACCTGCGTTCCTGGTCCGGGAGTAAGCCGAGCCTGCCTGTACGTTGGGAGCTGCACCGCAAGCCACCCGTGATCCTGGCTGCAGGGTGGTGATGGCTCTTCTGCTGTCATTTAGTTCGTTGTTCAGAATAAAAGGCTCTTGGAAAGCGCGGTGGGGTAGTTGAGAGGTCATTCCTGGTGGGACGCAGCCCCGGAAGGGGTGCGCTGGGTCTAGGGAAGCGGCTCCCTTTTGCTGGAGCACTGAGCTGGGTCGTGTTTTGCTCCTGGTGTTTGTTCGGGGACCTTGGCCCAGAACCTCGCTCCGTTCTTGTAGCCAGAAAAACTCCTGGAAAAGTTACAGTTGTGGTTTTTTCCAGCTGAACGAGCTTTCTTCTGCTTGTGGGTCTCATCCCCTCCTGACATATGGAGACAAAGGTTTCCTCTGCCTTCCCTGCCTTACTTTTTGCCTGTACTGATCAGGCCTGGTGTTTGTAGCATCTGCTTGTAGGCCATGGGTCTCTATTTCATCCTAGACGTCTTCTCTGTACCTCGCCCCATCTCTATTCTTCCTGGAACAAGGATGGTGCCGCTGCTCCAGGCAAGCTGGTACCCTTCCACGGCAGGGCTGGTTTCTCACTCTCTATCAGAAATATTTCCAGGACCAAATGTCTTGTATGTGGTTACTGCAGGGAATGTACTCTGCCTCTGAGCCCCTCGATGATTTTAAGGGGAGAGAACTGATCAATTTTGGACTTTATAGTCCCAGCAGTATATAATCCCGATATTTGCCAGCTGCCAACACAGTCTCACGGAGCATTCCCTGATCGGAGGGAGCAGGGGAGCCATCTGCGTGGGGATGGCCAGCATCACTGCTTGGGATCCAGACTGCGCAGGAGCAGCCCCCGTGGAGGGGTCACTGTGGGCACACGTGTTTGAGGGGCGCAGGGCGTTCAATAAGTTTGATAATTAATTTTTTTTTTTTTATTATTTTAAATAGAAAAGAAAGAGCTGGATCTCAGAAGATGATTTCTACAGGCCTTCTCCGGGAGAGAGCAGTGAAAGCACAGCTGACACCAATGGCTTCGGGCCGGAGGGGGCTGGCGAGGGTCCGGCCCCAGGGCTCATTAGCGCTCTTGACTTGGAAAGGCTGTCGGTGCCGTCCTCGGAGAGCGGGAAGCCCAAAATGTCACCCGAACGGGAACAAAAGGGCTTCAGCGTTGTGCATCGCAGGCAGATGGGTACGTGCCGCCCTGCCCTCTCCTGCTTCCGTCAGGTGTCTACGCTGGGCAGTGCTCAGGGGCTGGGGGGGGTGTTTTGGGTGATGGGCAGTTTGGGAAGCACGGTTTGCCATTGCTGAGCTGATGGCAGCACTAAAAGCTGCAGAAGGCAGTGGGCCAGCTTCCTTTGGCGTTGCTGAGCCCACGATAGCTCTGGAGGCAAGTGTCTTAGGAGGAGAGGAGGTATGCTGGGTGTCTCTGTCCCCACGTCTCTGCCCACTCTGCGGAACACGTCTCCTTTATGCCGTCCCACTCGTTCTCAGCCTCAAAACCCAAATCCATGCAGACAGATTATGGAGACCAAGGTCCTGTAAACTCCTGCCCCATCCCACGGTCCACCAGGACCAGCTCTCAAAGCTGCAATGCCTCTGGTTGCTCGCTGCGAGCCGCCCGTTGGCTTTTCTCTTTCCACCAACTTCCCCTTTTTCGGTTAAACTAAGACATCTGCTTTTGCCCCAGGTCTTTCCAACCCTTTCCGAGGGCTGCTGAAGCTGGGCAGCCTGGAGCGGAGAGGAGCCATGGGGATATGGAAGGAGTTTTCCTGTGAGCTGTCGCCACTGGAGCTCCAGCTCTTCCTGGACCACGAGGACCGCATCTGCGTCGAGAGCTATTCCCTGCTGCGGTGCGAGTCGCTGGCACTGACGCACTCGGACGGCCGTTTCGAGCTGGTTTTCCTGGGGAAAAAACTCTACCTACGAGCTCCTTCTCGAGATGAGGCCGAGGACTGGTTGGACAGGATCCGCGAGGCACTGCAGAAGTGCCGGCCTCAGCTGGAGGAGGAGGAGTGGGAGTCGCTGGAGTATCCAGAAGATGGTGGCGAAGGCCAACCCATCCAGAGCGACTCCGCTGCTCTTCTCCAGTACAGCGACGTGCCTGGGAACAGCTTTGACTGGACTCCAGCTCACGAACCGGAGCTGGATGCAATAAAAGAGGCTGTTCTGTACGTGGACGTAGACAAAACCTGGGTCCCCTTTATTTTTTCCCTGTCTCTAGAAACTTTAAAGTGCTTTAAAGTCAGAAACAACGATAAAATTTTAAGCAACAGTTATGGTATAGAGACCATCCAGGACATCCTTCCAGACACGAGCCTTGGGGGACCCGCGTTCTTCAAGGTAATCACCTCCAAAGCTGTCCTGAAGCTGCAGGCTGAGAATGCAGAAGAAGCGGCCTCGTGGAGGGAGCTGGTCCGAGGGGTGCTCATGTCCTACCTGGAGAGCGCCGAGGAGGCGCTGACGCTGGGTGGCAGCTTGGACGGGCACTCCCAGGTCATCCTGAAGAACATCGTGAAGGAAAACAGCTTCTTGTTGCAATACCTGGTGGCCATCCCCATGGAGAAGGGGCTGGACTCGCAGAGCTTCATCTGTGCAGGTACACGTTGGCTTGTCCAAAAACCCAGCTCCATCTTGGAGGATGATGTTGCGTTCGTTCAGATTAACGAGGTGACATCAAATTAGAGGTGCCCTGAGTCCTGCCAACCCGTTGCAGGCCGGCTGCTGGTTTCCCCATCCAAACCCCCGGTAGCACCGAAGCCCCTCGGTGGTGCTTCACGTCCCCAGTGAGTGGCACCTTTGGTGGTCTGTGCGCACCGGGTGAGTCCCCCCATGCCGAATCCCACCCCAGCACAGGTCCAGCTGGGCTGCTACTGGGCTCCTGTTTACGATGCTCATGGTGTAGACAGTGGGGGTCTTGGCCTGAAGGCTGCCTTAGATGGACCTCAGGTGGACCATTTTGTGGCCCCAACCTGCAGGGAAAGTGCAGTCAAGAGCAAATGCTGTTTTTCCGGTAGTGCAGCACAGGAGCGAATATTGCAGTGGGTGTGACAAGCTGATTTTGCAAAACATTCGTTTTACCTTCCACGAACACCTCTCGGCACGCGGGGCGATGCTGGTGTAATAGGATAACACTCGCTGACCTCCACAGGAGGTATAATTTGCTCTTTACCTTGGTAAGTTAATTAAATTTCAGATGTCTCTCCTGCTTCAGTTATATTTCTTGCACCCTCCAGCAGGTTTTTTTTCTTTTAATCTCTCTTCTTTTTTTTTTTTATATATATATTTTCCATTCTGTTTGGTCTCTACGTTCCCCTCCAGGCTCTGTCCTGTGTCTTCCACCTACCAACAGATGGAAGCAGCAAGCCAAAAAGACAAATTCCCAGTTTCTATGTGTAGGTTTTCTTAGGGGGCTGCCTGCCCTGCTTTCACCTCCCTCCCAGCCTGATAGCCGAGACTGGCGCAGGAGGGGTTTCCTTACATGTCAGGGTGTAATGATAAAAGCTTTTTTTCTTTTTTTTTAATTAATTCAGAGAGCAACATCTGACCTCCATGAATATTTTTTGGGGGGGGATGCGCTCCAGCTACCCCGCAGTGTGAAGGATGGGGTGGCAAAGCCTTCCCGGAGGGTGGCAGAGGCTTGCTTATGCTTGGTCAGTTATTTTAGAGAACTGAACCCATTAAAAATAGCACGAAGGGTTTTCCTGCCTTCCCGACTCCAAATGAGATGTGCTCGCTTTTCAAGTCGCTATAAAAACCCTGCAGATTTCCCCCGAGACCCCACCTGGGTCCCTCCTGGTTCCTCTGCTGCTATAATAAAGGCTTTTTTGGCGTAACCCACCCCGACCTCATCCCTTGCAGGTGAGGATCCCTTGCAGACTTGGTTTTGGTACCCGGCAGCGGGAAAGAGAAGGGCTGAGTGAGGGCGAAATGGGGCAAAGCTACGGGAGGAGGTGATGGGGCAGGCGGGTGGGATTTAGGTTCTTCCCTAAACCACTGGGATGTTCCCAGAATTCACTTTTCCTAAAAAAAAAAAAAAAAGGAAACAATTGAACCACGTGATGGATAAAAGTGGGTTCAGGGATAGTCCAGACTCCTTTTTTATGGAGGAAAAAGTGAAGCAGCTCCTGTTGGACCATCGTGGTCTTAAATCCACGGGGAAGGCGCTGGGGACCTCTCACCGAACGTCCTACAAGTGCTTTAACTCATCTCCAACGCTTCCGAAAACTTTCTTGCTCCATTCCCCCCTCCCAGAAGTTTTTCCCCCCATCTTGGCAGCAATGGGAATGGGATAGCATGGGTCCCCTCTCATCACCTCGTCCCTGCTCCCTGCAGGCTGCTCCAGGCAGATCGGCTTCTCCTTCGCGAAGCCCAAGCTCTGCGCCTTCTCTGGTCTCTACTATTGCGACAGCTGCCACCGGGACGACGAGACGGTGATTCCCTCGCGCCTCATCCACAACTGGGATCTGACGAAACGAGGGGTAAGTCTGGGCTCAGTCGGTGCAGGGAGCGGGAAAATGCTCCTGCATCTGCCTGTGCTTCCTGAAGGTCCATATGAACGTTTCTACCATCAGCAGAGGTGGAGATGTCCACCCTACACCTTCTTCTGAGCCTCCTGGGCTGCTCCTTGGTGCATGCCCGCCTCTTGCCTCTCTCTGCCCCAGGTTTGCCGGCAGGCTTTGAAGTTCCTCACTCAGATCCGTAACCAGCCGTTGATCAACCTAAAGCTGGTCAACGAGAGCCTCTACGACCACGTGGAAAGGATGGGACGGATCCACCGGAGCAGGGAACAGCTGAAGCTGCTGGGAGATTATCTCATCATGTGCCGCAGCGGGGCCCTGAAGGAGCTGAGCAAGCGGTGAGGTCCCTCTCTGGGTGCCGTTATGCCTGCATCCCCCTCTTTGCACCCTGATGGTCTCCTGGTCCTCCTCATCGCTCGCCGTTGGAGCGGGGAGCGATGCTGCCAAGGCGTGGGCTGGTTTTTAGCTCCATGTCGTCTGCTCTAAGGAGTTGTCCGTCTGTTGGCTGGGTTGGAACATTGAGATGTGACTCAGGAAACACCTTCCTGACCAAGGAGCTTCTGGCTGGACAGGAAACACCTGGGAAAATAGATGAGAGATTTATTTTCTTTTTCCCCCCCTTTGAAATGCTCTCTCACGATTTCCAGTGGCAGGGTTTGGGATGTGTGGCACGGTGCGAAAATCGGGTCTGCGGTGATTTTCAAGAGTCTGTATCATCCAGGCTCCTCCTTGCTCCAAAGCCGTTGGAGATGTGGTGGAAACCATCTACCATCTTCCTCTCTGTGCTTCTTTGCAGGCTTGATCACCGGCACTACCTCTTGGAGTGTCCCCACAAATACAGCGTCGCTGATCTGAGGCAGGTGAGAGCTTTTTGCGTGGTCGTAGGGGTTTTACTGCTGAAAACATCCCGGTTTCTGTCGAGCATGGCATTTCGTCGTCATCATCATCAGTAGAAGGTTTCAAACAGCTTCATCTTCCTTTTGCCTTGCTCTCTTCCATCACGTGCACTCTGCAAGCTTGCACATCAGCTTCAAGGCAAATAATTGCCTTTTTTTTTAATTTGCCAAAATAATCGGCACAGGCCCGTATCCTCCGAGAACCATGGAGATCACGCGAGATAAATGTTCACCTCTGTAAGCCAGCATTGCTGCTAGTGCATCTCCACGCAAACTTGTATCCGTTGCAAATAATGTTGGAGGTGATGGGTAGCTGGATTTCGCATCGACTCCAAAGCCAGGAGCCCCATCCTGGCAGGTTGTGGGTGCTGCTGCCGGCTCTCTCTGGGGTCCCCTTGCGACACAGGCACGTGGGATGTGGGTTGTTTTTGGAGGACAGCCTTGTCTTCACATGGCAGCACGAAGCATGGGTGTAATGTGGATTTTGCACAGTGCAAACCCGACAGGAGACGGGTTCCGCGCCCGCCTGACCTATCTCTGCCCTGCAGATAGCCGACGGCGTCTTTGAGACCTTCCTGCAGTCTCTGCTCCAGTTTGCTTCCCATCACGTCTACAACTGCGACCTGTGCACCCAGCGAGGCTTCATCTGCCAGATCTGCAACAGCAGCGACATCATTTTTCCCTTCGAGTTTGACACTACCACCAGGTGAGCGACGTCTCCGTCGCGTCCCGCTGCTGCGAAGCCACCCGAGCTTATGGCCTGGCTTTTCCCAGGAGCCTGGACTTGTCCCCTGGGTCCCCCTCTGGGGCTCTGCGCTTTCTAGGCACGTAGCCCCGGGGTGGCCTGGAAATAGCTCCGAGCTGGTTGTGTGTCCTCGTGGTACCCCTGTCCTCGTGGTACCCCTGTCCTTGTGGTACCCGTCAGCTCCAAGGTGTTTCCAACCAAAACTGGGCTGTTTGGGGCAGGAGAGGACCACCCTCGCAGAGCCGAGGTGTCACCAAGCGAGGTGGCTTTGCAGGTTGAACATGCAGAGCCACCCAGCACCTTGCTGTCAGCCTGCAAAAGCCCGGCTGGGTGTCGGGTCCTGGGGGAGCAGAGGGGCCGGGGGCAGGGGGAGGAGGACGATGAAGGTGCTGTGTGCCCTGCCTTGCTCACCCGGCCAACGTATCTCCCGTTCAAATTCAGTCCGGCCCCTTCCCAGGGGTTGCAGGAGGGAAGGAAAAGCAGCAGTGGGACTGTTCGTACACCCCTCTACAGCCAAGGAGGGGCGGAAGGACACACGGACACGGATTTGGAGATCGATGGTGGGCAGCCCTGCGGGATGTGCTGGGGAGCGGCTGGGGAGGTTCCCAGCAGGACGGGGAGCACCGGCTTTCATCTGGGTTTTTCTCCTGCCTGCAGAGCTCCCATCCTTTGCAGGCGGGGTCCTTGCCTGCGGTGGGCT